AACAACGATTTGATATTTTGTATATTCAGGGCTTGATATTACATTGATCGATTCTCAAAACTCAGTTCAGAAGGTTGAATATTGATTGATCGTCACTTTTTTTGTAATAATATTTATTTTTTAGGTTTATTTAGCGACCTCATAAGATTAGAAGTATTTCTAAGTCTAATTAGTGATCAAATTTAATTTATTTAAAATCCCTTTACTAATCATTCCTACATATCTTTTTGTATTGGAGTAAATGTCTGAACTCGTAACGCATAAAATAATAAATTAATATTCATAAACCTAAAGGAACTACAAAGCTATAATGAGCTTTTCCACTTATGTGATGGTTACGAGTTTACTCGAAACGTTTCGAACCACACCGGGGCCTTTAGTTATAAGTCGTGTTTGCGATGAACACTTTATCACGTGAATTGCAACAATTTACAGTTCAACTACAGTAAAGACATTTAATCTGTACAAGAATTAATTTTCTTGCTTTTAAAGTAATTTATGACTGAATTGATAATTTTGACACTTTTTTATCCCAGCCCATTAGAATATCCTGTCGACTATCCAGCGACAACTTGACTATTTTTATATGTTTACCCCTTTTCATAGGGAAGGGAGGGGAAAGGAATTTATTATCTTACATTCATTATATTGTTCAAGTTTAGCTGTTGTTTCGATTATAAGTCATACAGCCAGCGAGATTTGAACTTAGATATTTTTTTGCTATCACATGAATCGAAGCGCGTTACTTAATCCCAAAATAAATCAATTAGGTATGCATTATAGATTACATAGCATATTGCTCTCTAAAAATCGTCTCGTAAATACTTTTGTGTTCATAGAAATTTACATCTTAGTCTTAATGCATAAAGTTCAATATGCAGTGAGCTTATTGCGCTTCGATTGTGCTAGTATAAAATGAACCTTATCTAGTAGGAAGAAAGACTAACTTTAATATGTAAGCATTCCTAACGCATTACTTGTTTAAATTTGTTGATTATTTATTTAATTTGGGTAACGGTGTGATTTTTGTTATTGGGAAATAATGTGAAACAGGCATAAAGAGTTATTTTAAATTAGAAATCTACTATGGAAATTAGGTATTAGATACTTGGTTACTAAATTAAATACTTTTATTATAATGTCAATAAGGATTCTCTCTTCGACCTTGGTATGAGATACGATACTATAAGGATGTATCTCATGATGTTTTAAGATTGTATCTCAAACTTGTGATGTCATTATGTTAAGTGTGACGTCACAAGTCACAAGTCTTGTGACGTCATTATTTTCTATGTGACGTCACAGGTCTGCCACAAACAAGCCTTGTGACGTAATTATGATTATGAACTAAACAACAGACTTAGCTGTTCAGTTAATTTATCTTAGATATTGTTTAGAAAATTATAATGTAAAAAAGAAATCTGAAATAGTAATTCAAAGTTCAAATAATTATGTAAATAAATAAAAATTTTTTTTCGTCGAGGAAAATATTGAATGGATCCAATAGAAATTGAGGTGATTGTATTTTTGGAGTAAAAAAGTGTGTCTTAATATATGAAAAACATCTCTATGCCTGTATACTTCACAATTTTTTACTTTGTTATATGAATGTGTGGTTATATTAAGTAAATTATGATAATTTGGGTTGATTTGTAGTATTTGTAGTTTTTTAATTCTTTTTTTTTATCGTAGATCGAAACCAAAGTTACGTAGTATTTTTTTTGTTATTTTACATAGAAAGATATTAGATGTTATAACGATATTAGTTCTTATAATCTTTAACAATTTTCTTTATTGTTGAATGAAGTTTTGTATAACTATTAAAATACCTATGTGCATAGATATGCTTAGTTTTGCATGGATGTTTTAACCCTTTGAACGCTATGGTCGGCTATAGGTGAAAACGAAATATAGGCTATTTCGCCAACGTCAAGCAATATAGCCGACCAGATAACGTCATAATTAAGTACTTATATAATATTTGGTTTGTCGGCTTCAACAAAACTATGTTATTTATGCAAATCTCAGTTTGTGTGACATGTAAAGTACTAATGGATTTGAGAAAATTATTGGAGGTCTTTTTTGTTTAATTACATTTTGGTTGTAAAGTTTGTTAAGATTTCTGCCATTATTCTTCAACAAACTGTGTGGGAGAGCCATGCTTCGATACAAATGGGTCGGCTCGACCGGATTAGTACCACGGCCTCACCCACTTTTGAGGCACCGCGACCTCGTCCCAGAGCAGGAGAAGAAACAGGGGGGTTTTTAGTCAGTAAGAGTCTGACACTCCCTCCCGCCCGGCCCTGGGAGAAGTCATTTGATGATTTTCCCGTCACAAAAAAAACCACGGCCTCACAGAAAACTGACAGTACTTCGTCTTCCATGCCACCCAATCTTCAAAAAAGTCTCACACTCCCTGAAAAGGCGGCAGCACATTTTGTAACTTCTCCAGCGAGTTATGGGTAGTCCATGGTTATCCCTAGTCTCTTTACATCAGGTGACCCTGACAGCTCGTTTACATTCTAATCCATAAAAAACATGTAAAGATTTTTACCAATTTTCTTATCTAATTGTGACATGTGTAGACTTATAATGAAATCTTAGAATAATATATGTGTCTTGAATTTTTACCCTTATTGTAATGTTATTAAGATGTAATATTGTAATGGATAAAGTAAAGATCATTTGACTAAAAGCTGTCTCTTATGTCGCGAAGTTTTTTTATGTTTGTTTTTTTTGTCAAAGCGTTATTTTTTTATTTGTAATTTCAACACCGCGCCGGTGCAATAAAAAGTGCATTTTTAGTGTCATTTTTTGTGTTTTTATTTATTTATTAGGTTCGGAGGACATTTTAAACAATATTATAATTCTAATATTTATTGGAACATTATGATATTTTTGGATATTATTGTTGACAAGTTATAAGATTTGCATTTTTCGTCTATTATTAAATGTGACGGTAAAAGAAAATAATATTAAAATATTACAGACTAAGGGCCTGTTTCATTACCTTCGTAAAACTTCCCGATAAACATTATGTGCCACATAGCTCATACAAATTATGTTCTATATTCAAATTCTGGTACTGGCGAATCGCCATGTGTACATTGCTTATACGAAATTGCTCCAATTTATGTTATTATACATACATATATGTACATATAAATAATCCTTTTGAATCACTTTGTATCTATTAAAAAAACCGCATCAAAATCCGTTGCGTAGTTTTAAAGATTTAAGCATACATGTAGAAAGCGACTTTGTTTTGAAGTCTATAGCGATTATCAAGACGTCGTGAACCGGGCCCTTAAAATAACAATTATATTCTCATTTTAAATGAAAAATACATAATACACATTACTTTTTATAAATAATTTTGTAATATAAGAAGTCATGTCTCAATGTTATAATGGTATGTAATAATAATATAATCATGTGTAATTTATTACGAATTTATGTGTGAATGTAAAATATTATTGTGGTAATAAATTATTCGCATTTTGGGAAGTTAATCTGTCTTATTTTTCTGTTGTGTTATTTGTAACATCCCCGCTGTTACCTACCAAAACTGCTGCAACTCCAAAGCCAGGATCTACAGTACATACAACTATGATAACAGCCAGGCACATAAATAACTTGCTTGGATCCCTCAACCAGAAACTTTTAATACTTAACTTAATAAGTAGGTCCCAATTAATCATTTCTGCCTCGTTTGACATCGAAATCGCAAATGCATCTACTGAACAAGTGGCTTCGAGTTCGTTTCCTGGGCTAGCAACGTTATTGGTATCAGTAATGACTCTTGAAGAATGTTTACCCTGATAAGGAGAGTCAGGTTATTAAATATAGGTAGTCTATCTACCTATACAATACCTACAGGTGTATAAAAATGCATCGCAAAATGCGTTGGTAAGCGCATAAGTCAACAATGCCGGGACGAATTTGGCCAATTCTTTTTTTGTTGTATTTGTTTTGAGCAGGAGAAGGTTCTTATGCAAGAAAAATTAAAAAGAGCAGAGAGAAGCAGGGGCTAGTAGGTTATAAAATGAATAGGTAGGTACAATACACAGTCAAAAAAGCTTCTAAAGAAAATAAATCGTGTAGAAAAGTATAGTGTATGATGAGTGACCTAACCCTACGCCTAACTAATAATTTATAATTCATAAGTAGGTAGCGGAAGAAAAGTAAAAACTTTTAAATAATACATATAAAAACTAGCAAATTACAACATTGAAATCGTAAACTGGACAAAACTTTTACTTAAAAGGAAAATGACTTTCACTTTCCTATTGATTTAGTAAAATCGTTAGTAGAATTTTAGAAAAATGATGGTAAGGTAGTACCTACCTACAAGAAAAACATTTTCCCGCGATAATTAATTTATCAGTTGGTAGCTCTGATAGTTTCGTTCTTGATTCTACTGGAATATTATACCCAACTAAAATATATTTGTTATGTGAAAATTCCAATTTATATTGCATAGTTTATATTTCATAATAGAGCATCCTGAATATATTTTCCAAACTCGTAAATGAATTCTAATCTAATAGATTTTTCTTACGTATTGATTAATTTTGTACGTTTCTGAACGTTAAGACAGGACAATGGCGACAATATTATGAAATGAATTGTCAAAATCACGAGTTTATCAGTGCGAAGTGACAGTGAAATGATAACGAGATAAAATTGTAAACACGGTAAGTTATTGAAAACTAATAAAAACTCAAGGACTTGCAACAAATAAATTCACAAAAATAATATTCTCCGAAGAATTAACTGTTTTTTTACTATTTTCAGGTGCAGCTGAGTATTATGTGAACAAAGAAATAACTACCTTCAAATACTCATATTTTTAGTTAGTGATCCAGCGGTATTTGTTCAAGATGTATATTCAAAGATTACCTTTGGAAACTTTAATGGAAATATTAATAAACACGGACGGTGTAACCCTCGGAAAATGCCGTAGAGTATGTAGAAGATGGAGGGAAGTTATTGATAAAATGGATCACCTCTGGGCGAAGATGTGCCGCACGGAGTTCGAATACTCATCGTTTATAGCTAGAAACAAGTCTGGTAAGGACTGCAAATGGTACCATCTGTATAAAAACCTATCGACGTGGGAAACAGTGACTTCTTTCGATGTACGAATACGCGATTTCTACAAATTTGCAATACATGACAAACATCATTCGCTGGCTATAGATTACGGTGTTTTACCTTTAAAAGAAACCAGAGGAATTGTGCTCTATGATATGCATACCATGAAACACATACCGGCGGCCGTGCCAGAGAAAGATTGCATGAAAATTTGCCATAATGACCACAATACCGCCTTATTACTAAAATCCGGAGTATTACTGCAGAGAACAGTTGAAAACTTAACTCACATGTCTGAAGCGTTTTTTACTAACGCACAGAGCTTCGTATTAGCCGAAAGAGACCTTTATTTCTTTAGAAAAAGAGATGTTTTTGTCTGTGATTTGAAGGCAAAAAATTTGGAATCAAAATTGATGCTTCATTGTGAATATGATATCAAAGAAATTCAGTATTATAGGGATAAGGTATATGTTTTTACTGACTGCGGAAAGATTGTAAGTATCGAGAGAAATGGTACTGTTAAAGCCAAAGCTATAAACATCCCACCAGAATGGATGAGACAAATAAAACATGTCCGAGCAGTTGATGACCGGAATTTCGTTTGTTATTCTAGAAACTTATTTAAAATTGAGACTGACAAGTATAAGCATTTGTATTTAGAGTTTCCACCAATCACGGCCCTGTTCTTCTATGGGGACTTTGTTCTGATTGGTACAAGGGCTGGTGAGATATTATTGTACAGGCTGTCTAGTCAAAAAATGAATATTAAACCTATTTTTGAAAAGCTTGCTGAGTTGCCTGAAGGAAAATTTGCTGTACAATTGGAAGTGTGTGAGCGGAAGGTTGGCCCTGTGATTGTTGTGGCTACATTTTTTGACATTGTTCTATTGGAGATTGACTTCTTTCCTGAAGTAAGTACTTTGTATATTTTTATTACACCATAATAAAAAATGAGGGTGGGATGTGGGTTCTTTAGACATAAAAAATTATACCAGGCTTATGCTGAAAGTGCGCTCACTTATTGTAGATTTGTTTGTATTCAAGGATTTAACAAGTTTATAATTTGTAAGGTTTTTTTTTACATTTTGAAAATGTTTATCTCATAATTTTATCTCATGAGGGTAGGTTGAAACAAAATTGCTAACACCACTTTCTGCCCTCACATCTTGTAAACATCTATCAATGAGGGTATCTTAGAAGCCATAATATTTACTTAAAAAAATACTACAATCGATACTAATATTAAAAAGAGGTATAATTAGAGAGAGGTAGAAGTATAATTTGTAATTTTGTATGAAGGGGGTAAATCTGGAACCGCTAGTCGGATATCCAAAATTTTATTTACTGATATAAAGCCATAATGTTTCTGATTGCTAAATACTACAAGTTATACTTACTTGATTTTGAGCTCTAGCTTTAAACGCTGCTGTTTTGAAAATCCCGGGATATATTACTTTTGACAACTAATAATTAAGAGGGCATTTATGCGAAAAGCAATTATTTAATTACCATGGAATGCTTGATGTTTCATCCTGATTGAACAGGTCGCTCAATGATAACATGAAACGCGAAAGTTTAAGTTAGTAATTACATTACTTTTATACGCCTGTGAAGCAGCTGGCGGAAGCTAGTAAGTAATATGATGAAACTAATTCAAATTGTTTTTTCTTTCAGGAAAGAGAATTAAGGCCACGTTTTGCTAACAATAAGCTGTTTTTGTACAAGCGCCTCATAAGAGTAAGGGATCGACTGCGTCTGGGCGTGCCATCAGTTCAAGCTATTGCATAAAATCAAGCTTTAAAACTTTAGGACTAATCATAAAGTTACAATGAAACTATTACAATTTTAGCTTATTGGTTGCTCAATAGCCTGATGGTTATTTTGGCTACTAGAGGTAGATTTTTTTTTCTAAATGGACTATGTGGTTCATATTTCCGACTGACTGCACAGTTTGCGCAGTGGCTAGGTAACTAGCTGCTTTCCACACGGAACAACACCTTGTCATTTACGAATTCTGATTCCGGGTCTGGTGGGTGTGTTGTGTGTACAAACATATATTTTAAACGCACCCACGACACAGGAGAAATCCTAAGGCGGGGAAAGTTTCAAAATAAAATGTTATAACATTTCATGTAAACAAAATATAAATAAAATAATGTACTTATACAAAATCTACCTCTAGAAACTAAATGCACCAAAAGTTATAGTATAAGTAAAGACTGTCCCGTTGACTGGGCTCTTGAGTATTATTTTCTGTTCGGGGAAAGAATTATTAAGCTATACTACATTCACTGTTCCAATTCTCACTCTTTCATAGCTTCTAATCTGCAAATTATATTTAAGTTTTATATTCTTCATGCAAAGTCAATGAGTACCTAATTTGATTAATTCTGTAATTGTACTAGTTTTATTGTAAGGTTATGATTTAAAAGTAATTTAAAATATTATTAAGAGTACCTGTTCTTATCTTAAAGAAATACGATTGCAGATTATTAATAATTACACGGCTTTAATCCGTTAAAAAAACAATCTCTAAAATTGCCTCTGCCTAATGATTAAAGGTACAACCTTTAACCATTAGAGTTTAGGTTTTAATTCCCTGATTGCCAAAACCATAGGGCTAAGCCCTTTAAAATGGCTGTTTAATTAATAATAATGTGAAATATTAGATCATAAAATTATTTATTATTTTCGAGTCGAACTAATTTATATTTAATTTAGTTATTTTGTTTTTATGAATTAAATTGAAATAAATGAAGTGAACTGTTTTTATGAATGTCATTTAATAAACGATAATGTCACTATTATTGTGCTTTTGTGGTTTAATTTCCTAATCCCATATCCTTACCGATATTTTTTATGGGTGGAGATTTACGAGGCAAAGAAGCGGACGGATCACCTGATGGTAAGCGATCGGCGCCGCCTATGGATACCTGCAACACCAGAGGCGTCACATGTGCAATGCCGGAGTTTTAGAAAAGAGTAGGTACGCTGGTTTTGTTGATGGTTTGAAGGTCTTATCGGCTCGGAAATGCAGCCGCCGGAAGATCATTCGAATGTTTTGCTTAGGGGCAGAAAGTTTGAGGTAATAGGTTATAAGGTTATAGGTTATTTAGTGTAGAAGAGCCATGCTTCGTCATGAATGGGCCGGTTCGACCGGGGTGATACCACGGCCTCACAGAAAAAACGGCGTGACGCAACATTAAGTACCTATACGTTGTGTTTCGTCGTGTTTTTTTTTCAAACTTTGCCCCACACTAGTATTTTCTCTTGTGTCGTGGGTGCGTTAACACGACATAGGGGAAACGTACGGGGATCGAACCTGCGACACGTTGCGCGGCAGTCAGTTGCCCAGCCACCGTGCCATCCGTGCAGTCAAACCGTGTGAGTGATGATAGCGGAGGGCCAATCCTTTCCCCAATCCCCAAGCCTCAACCAATAATAATAATAACGCAGAAGAGGCCGGCAATACACTTGTAGTAACTACAAGGTCCATGGGTGGGAGGACTGCTTACCATCAGGTAATCCGTTAACCTATGACATAAAAACAGTATTTTATTGCGCTTGCCCCACAATCCCCAATTTATACCTAAGTATAAATTTTTACATATAAATTGGGAATTATGGGGCAAGCGCCTTAACGCCCAACTTTTTGCAGTTACTAATTGCTAGTCTTTTAAAATTAATCTTCTGAATGTAGGTACATACCTACCTACAACTTATTTCAACCGGAAGATCAGTTAGCCTACCACTTCCCAATAAATCGAAGCAACGGCTTTATCATCCCTTGTACTACAGCTACAAACAAGACCACATAGTGTTGTCACGTTGCCAAAACAGCGCTGTAGCGGTGCATAGACAATCTACGTTTTAATCTTCAAGCGATTTAGATACTTGGCAGTTTACTTTACAACTGTGCGTTTTTGAGAAACTTTCTATATATTTTATATTTAGGTACTTCAACTACAATTACAGAACAGTCTACAGTCGAAGAGTGTCAACAAGTCAAGCCATTGCGGGGTAAGCGCAATGAGGCACCGCGACCTCGGCCCAGAGCAGGAGAAGGAACAGGGGGGTTTTTACCCGACTGCCAAAGAAGGAGGGTAATGTTTTTCGAGTGTATGTAAGTATGTATGTATGTCTGTTCCTTTGTGACCTCCTGTAGCCTAAACGGCTTGATGGATTTTGATGTATGAGGTATCGTTAGATTTGTCTTGATTACGGGAGTGTCATAGGATACATTTTATCCTAAAAGTCCCACGGGATAAAGACATAATAATATTTTTTCTAAATTTCCCTTTAAAAAAATATGTATGCGGTATCATTAGATTCATTTCAATCACGGGAGTAATTAATATAGGATACGTTTTTTCTCAAAATTCCCACGGGAACATGTTAATTCTGCGTCAACGCAAAGCAACTCATGCGTTAGCAACATCGATCACTAATAAAGAACTAGATACACAATCCCATACAAAAGTTCGCTTCAAAACTGTCGCCAACTGTATTTAGGTACTTATACTTGAAATAAAAATGCATTAATGTAAATTAAACCTTAAATGCAACTCATAGAGTTGTTTTTACAAAGTGATGTACAAAATCTTAATACTTTTTGCGACCGAAGCTCTTAACAAACACAAATCATAAGAAATTGAACCATATTCGCATGTTTTTAAGTCGAATTTACAAAGTGTCAAAAATAAGCAATAAAATTTAACGACTTCGGCTCACCGCTAGGACAAAGAATGATTGGAGTCGAAATGTCTCGTAAGAAATATATTTCTTTATAATATTTCTTTAGAAAATACGCAAATTAAAACGCATTACTTATAGTATTCTTTTCTATAGGTTTGTTCATTTATTTACCAATGAAACTAATGCATATAGTTATAATTCTTTTTTTTATTTTCGTCCTCCTTAATCCTTTCTATTCGAAGTCAAATAAAAAAGATGTAAAATAATAAAAAGAATATATATCTAAAGTAAGTACTGAAAATGTTGGCGTTATTGTTGTAAATTTTTCATATCGCACGGGATTTTGATGAAAGCTAAAAAAAATGTCTTTACTGCAGTTAAAATTAAATCCATTATATCTGCCTATTCCATATTTTAATAAACACAGTAAAGAATTATAATATTAAATAAAAACTATTTTTTAATAAAAAAAAAACAATATATAAAATTAGGAACAATAGCGTCTCCGCTAAACGGAACAGAATCAATCCACGTAAACCGAACAACTTAAGTGGTCATGCTAGAGAATGATTTTACGTTTAGTATAAGTGTCTTTATAAACTGTGTGCATTATAACCCCGGTTTTTGAATACGATTTCATTTGGAAAAAGTTTTAAAGTTAATTTCTTAATAAAATATCAATATTTAAAATAGAATGATGACAATTATATAATGATAATATTATGACTAAACGAAAATATGAAATTCCATCCTTTTTTGCATCTTAGATGTGTGTGTTTTTGCAGTTTTTTAACGAGCACTGAGGCGTGTTTACCGTCGGAGCATTCGAGTGGTACTAAACTAAAACTACACCGCGATGTTGAGTTTGGTGGACTTTCAGTTGGGACATTTTTTTGCCACTGATTGTGTATCTAGTTCTTTATTAGTGATCGATGGTTAGCAAGCAAAAAGATAGGGCGTGGCCTGGCATGCGGCGCGCGGCGCGGTGCGGAGGGGGATATGCTCGAGTATACAGCCCGAATGCGGGCACACGCATAAGGGCACACGTCGTTGACGGTCGTCTCTAAATAGCGATTTTTTCGATACTTCGTCGTCTGACGCGAAACTTATAAAGTATAAATAACTCGTTCTTTTTCTTTCGTGTTTCTCTCTTTAAATTTATTCGTTCTTTCTAATTAATTAACTCGTTCTTCCGTTCTTTTTTTTGGTTCTTTCTTAAATTCTTCATAATTAATTAATAATATAATAATAATTATTAATAAAAAAATAAAAACAGCTAAAAAGTTATAAATAAAAAAATTATTATTAAAAAAACAAAATACCCGACTGCACACTAAAAAAAGAGTAAAACAAGCCCCACAATACAAATTTACTGAATATAATTTATAAATGTTGATGGAAAGCATCGCAGGCGGGGACCACCTTGACCGCCACCAACGAAAATTCTGCTAAATGGTGCACAACTGAAATGACTATAAATAAGCCTCTGTTGGTCCCCGCCTGCGATGCTTTCCATCAACATTTATAAATTATATTCAGTAAATTTGTATTGTGGGGCTTGTTTTACTCTTTTTTTAGTGTGCAGTCGGGTATTTTGTTTTTTTAATAATAATTTTTTTATTAGTCAGTAAGAGTCTGACACTCCCTCCCGTCCGGCCCTGGGCAGGAGAAGACATTTGATGATTTTCCCCTCACAAAAAAAACCATCAACAGAAACAACACAAATCAAAATCAAATCATTTGTTTCAATTATTAGACCAATCAGTGCCGGGGTAAGGGTCATTGACTCCCCGGGCGAAAATATTGTGGCGCTCACTTAAGGGAAGCAATATCAAGTGCTACTTTTTGCTGATCCCAAGTAAAATAAAAATAAATAATCCTAATAAAAATACAATGACGTATAGTTTTATACATCATTGTAAAAATATAACAAAAATACGACCATGCATTCCTACAAACTTTTACTTTTTACAATATCAGGTACCTTAGGTATTACAAAATCATTGAATGAAAGTGTTGTTATTTTTATACGTACCTACCCAGTAATGGTTGTCATATTTCCCACCTAATAAGGTTAATATATAATTAGGTAT